AGCCCCAGCCTCACAGCTACCTGTGGGCAGTAAGGGCAATCCTTGCTTTCACCTGCTGAGACTCAGAGTGAGAGCTAGCCAGCCATTCCCATTGTGTCCATGTGGTATGTGATACCTCAACTTCTCTGGAGCAATCCTGCTCTCCCCCTTCAAGTTCCTTCTCAAATCTCCCCTGAACTCCAGTTTCACAGAGCTAAAACCTTTGTATGATTGCCCACAACTGTGTTCTGGGCATTTAGTAGAAGAGCTTTCAATGGTAAATTTGTACCTTTGAAAGCTCACAAGCATCTTTCAAGGATGAGAGCTATCAACAGAATAAGTCTCTAGGGGAGGGAAGTGATGGTAGGGGAAAAATAAAGGAGGAGTAACAATGCTTGCTATGTAACTGTAACCCCTCTGTACAACATTTTTACAATTAAAAAAATAATTTTAAAGAATAAGTCTCTAAGTATGACTCAATGGGAGGACAGATCTGAACTTTCCTGATTGCCAGCCAACAAACACAGAAGGCCTTGTATCCTTTATAGACAATTTTTTTTTTTTTTGGTCCGATCATGGGGCCTGAACTCTGAGCCTGGGCGCTGTCCCTCAGCTCTTCAGCTCAAGGCTAGCGCTCTACCATTTGAGCCACAGCACCACTTCCGGCTTTTTTCTTTTTGCTTATATGGTACTGAGGAATCAAACCCAGGGCCTCAGGCATGCAAGGCAAGTGCTCTACCACTGAGCCACCTTCCCAGCCCCTATAAACAATCTTTAGAAGTGTTTACTTCTTTGACTCTGAGCCCTTGTGCTTCCCCCTTAGTTACTTTCTTCTAGTTAGCTTTAAAAAGCACTAATCCTGGAGGTCATGCAGATAAGCTTTATGTTATAAGCTTCCCACTAGCTCTGATGCTAGGTAACATCTCTGATGTATGACTTATACCATAACAGCTGCTTAGGTTATTTTTTCAAGCACTAGATAGCCATTTTTGTTGAATCTGCCAACTCTTTGCTTGGACCCACACGGGTGTCCAATGTGACTTGGTAAGGTCAGAAGGCCAAAACATCTACCTTCAGATCTTGCTAACATCACATCAACAATGTTTGAACATACATCCGATGAAGAACTATGACATTTGATAACACATGTGTGCTCCAATGACCTTTGCTCACCCCAGACCAACTTTTCTTTCTTTTTGGTGGTACTGGGATTTGAACTTGCACTTTAACCATCGCTCCAGCCCTTTTTGTCTTAGTTAATTCTTTGAATAGAGCCTCACGATTTTGTCCAAGCAAGCTTGCACCTTGATCCTCCAATTTATAACTTCTATATGGCTGGGATGACAGGGGCAATGCCACCATGCCCAGCTTAGTGATTGAAATGTATCTCACTACTTTGGCAGGCCTTCAGATCAAATCTGGCTTTTTCTCTTTGCTACCCTCAAACTTCAATCTTTGCAATCTTTACAGGTATAAACCATGCCTCCTCTGCTTTTTTTTTTCAGCCCTGGGCTTGAACTTATGGCCTGGGCGCTGTCCCTGAGCTTTTGTGCTCAATGGTACTTTTTTTGGTGCACTCTGCCACTTTGAGCCATAGCACCACTTCTGGCTTTCTGGTCGTTAATTGGAGATAAGAGTCTCATAGCCAAGGCTGGGAAGGTGGCTCAGTGGTAGAGTGCTTGCCTTGCATGCATGAGGCCCTGGGTTTGATTCCTTAGCACCGCATGAGCAGAAAAAGCCGTAATTGGTGCTGTGGTTCAAGTAGTAGGGTGCTAGCCTTGAGCTGAAGAGCTGAGAGACAGTGTCCAGGCCCAGAGTTCAGGCCCCACAACCGACAAAAAAAAAGTCATAGCCTTTCCTGCCTGGGCTTTGATGCTCAGATCTCAGCTTCCTGAGTAGCTAGGATTACAAGTGTTAGCCACCTGTGACTAGCCCTTCTCCACTTCTTTATCCCACAGATATCCACAAGCTCAATCCTTGGAAAGACCAAGTTAAGACTTGGATCTCCTTCTTCCATGATTGGCCACTTTGCAAATAAATTCTTTGTCTCTCTTGAAAAACTCATTGTTTCAGTGCTGGGCATACTGTGTGTAAGTAAAACAGGCCTGGTTCAGTAATAGGGCTGCCATGAAAACTGAGACACAAAGGTCAAGCTGCAGGCACAGACCCAACACAACTGGCCATCCAGTCCAAGCTAGTTATAATTATCACTGTCACTCCCTCGCTGCCTGTCTCCTTGAGGAATCCATTCCTTCACCCAAATCCCTCTACCTCTCACAGGCTCTAGCATAGCCACGTGGTGAATGACATGCTCACCCCCTTCTCCATTGAATCCTGAACTCCTTGAGGACAATGACCTTGTCTGGCTATTCCTGGGGGCTCCATACCTAGCTCCCGGCCTTATACTTAGTGGGCACCATGTGTACTTGTCAATAAATCGTCCTGTGTGCCAGACTCCAGACAGTTGTTTGATGAATGGTTAGAACATCATGTTAAATTAAAATTCATTTTATGATGTGGTTATAAAGACAGACAGAGACTGTGCTGATACTGACATCATGTCGGGCTGGTGACACCAATAATATTAGTAATGTTTACTTCAAGACAATACCCTTGGCCTGGACACATGTAGGAAAATGACCCAGAGCCCCACTGAGTGAGTCACTGGGGTCTAAGGGAACTATTTCCCACAGGGAGGGAGCTATCACCTGTGTGGCTCCTCCAGCCATCCATTGTCCTGAATTTCAGTAAATTTCTGACCATCTTTGAAATCACACAAAACTGTAGGGAACTGTACTGTAGGGAACAAGGTCATAAGAAACCTCCTCTGGGTCTCCTATTCCCTGTTGACTGAAAAAAAATGCAAGCTTCAGGGAAAGAAAGTTCTAGAATGATCTACCCATCTTAGATACCATTCACACTTAAGCCATGCCTCTGTGCCATTGAACATACCATTCCTTCCTAAAGGAAAGCTCTTCCTCTAGATAGTGGCCTCCTACTAAGACCCTACTTAGAATACGTTCTCATGGAGTCTTTCCACAATAAAGAGGTCTTGGTGAAATCTCTTGCGGGGGGGGGGGTTCTCATTCTACATTAGTCATATTCACAAGTTCAAGGCAGTCGTAGGAGAAGCAGGAAGAAGTAGTAGTCAGGTCTGATCTTCGTACCTCCAGTAACAAAATTGCAGAAGCAGAGGAAATGTGTGTGCAAGGTCAAAGCAGCTCCCCAAAGGGTCTAACCTCTGGTATGACAGGGCCTGGGTACCCACTGGAGTTCTAGAGAAGAGGAAAGCAGGCAGCTGTGAGAATCAGGAGTAGGATTATAAATCCCATGCAGACAGTCTAGAGCCAGTCTTTGCCTCGAAGCCTCTGAGTAGCAACAGAAGTTCCACAAAGGAGCACTGGGGAAGATTTGAGGCAGGGACTGGGTCCAAAGTCCACTGTACTAGGTTTCAGAGATTGAAGAATCTGAACCCTCCAGTCTACTCATAAGCTTGATCTTAAGCAAATCCCTCAGTTTTGCTATAAAGTAGCCTCCCTGGCAACTAGAACCAGATTTCTACACCAATTTGCTAAAAAAAAAAAAATGTGAGCAATTCAGTAGTGTAGGGTCCCTAGGTACAACTCGTTGGTCTCTGGGGAATTCCCTGGGGACCCTGGAAAGAGATTCTAAGACTGAATGTTTCCCCATCAAAACTAGTCTCAGACATCATTCAGTTCAACCTCTCACAAGGCTCTCACAAAGCCAGGCACCAGTGGCCCACACCTGTAATCCTTGCTATTCAGTAGGCTGAGATCTGATGATCACCATTGGAAGGCAGCCCAGACTGGCTTTTTATGCATTTACGTTATTGTTATTATAGTGGTGATGTACAGAGGGATTACAACTACATGAGTCAGGTAATGAGTATGCTTCCTTTCATACAGTGTGTTCTGTTCCCTCATTCTCTCCCAGTCCCTTCTTCCTATCTCCACCCACAAGTTGTATAGTTCACTTTCATCAGTGTCCAGTGAGCTCCACTGCTGAGCTTTTTCACCCTTTTTCTCTTAAGTTCTGTAACCTTCCCCCAACCCTTCTGAATATGTACTGTTGAATACAATATACACAATGTAAAGAAGACAAAATTATCAAAACTAAAAACTAAGAAAACAGGGTGGGGGAAGAGGTCTCTGTTTTCCTATCTTGGAGCTTGTTTTAGTATGTATATTTTTAATATAAATACGAAGAGGCACTTGGGCACTGTGCCTTTGTTTCTTTCCTAAGAATATACTCTTTTGGTCTCACTATATGTAGAATTCTGCACAATTTATCATATCCCAGTGTATTTTGGAGCTAATTTCCGCATATCAGAGAGAACATGCGCTGTTTGTCTCTCTGAACTTGGCTTACCTCACTTAGTATGATTTGTTCTAGTTCTATCCATTTCCCTGCAAATGACATTATTTTATTACTTCTAACGGCTGTGTAAAATTCCATTGTGTATAGGTTCCACATCTTTTTGGATCCACTCATCAATTGTGGGGCATCTGGGCTGTTTTTATAGCTAGGGCGTTTTAAACAGTGAAGCAATGAACAATCCAGGAGACTCTTCTAATTAAATCACCAGAAAGTGGAGCTGTGGCTCAAGGGGTAGAGCGCCAGCTTTGAGTGAAAAAGCTGCAGGACAGCGCCCAGACCCTGAGTTCAAGTGCACGCGCGCGCGCACACACACGTTCCATTACAAACGGGGAGGTCGGGGAGGGGAGGGGGAATGTAGTTCAGTGGTAGAGGGCTTGTCTAACTTGTATGACTCCCGTGAGTCCAATCACCAGCACCTCAAAAAGCAAGAAGAGAGCCCGGGACGAGACGCACCAAAGCCGTCCCGCAAGCACGAACAGCCGAACGCCGGCCCACGCATTGCGCGTCCTGGGGGCGGGGCGCCCGGGCGTGGGGCGGGGCGCCCGGGCGTGGGGCGGGGCTGCTCGGGTCACGTGAGTCACGGCCCGGAAGCTCTTGAAACAGAGACCCCGCCTTCGCCCCTTCCCCCCCGGATTGACCCTAGACAGAGTTTTGCGGACTCCCGCGGGCCGTGCATGGACCACCATGGCCTGGACCAAGTACCAGCTGTTCCTGGCCGGGCTCATGCTCATCACTGGCTCCATCAACACGCTGTCGGCCAAGTGAGTGTCCGGACGGGGCCGGAGGGAGCCCCGCGGGGCCCGCGGGCGCCCCTCCGCTCTGTTTTCTGGCTTCCCCGGGCTCGCCCATTGGTGGGCTCTGTCTTGATTCTGTTTATGGACCACCCGAAGGGGTGCGAGGCCTCAGTTTTCTTCCCAGGGCGTGGGCATCCCGGCCGCTGTGGAGCCCAGCTGGGTGGGCCGAGTGATCAATGCGGCCCTGGAGAGGAGGGATTCGAATTACATTTTGATTCTTAGGTTGGATTCTAAAAAAAAAAAGGTACTGGGAACTAAACCCAGGACCACTTGAGCTACGTCCTCAGCCGCCCCGCCTTATGTCATTGTTTTTAAGATAGAGTCTCAATAACTCTGGCCCTCAGAGCAGGGATTACAGGCACGCACCACCATATCTGACTTTGGATGAATCAAATTGTCTGTATGGCTGAAACATGGAGGCAGGGAACAGAAAGGCCAGCTTGAAGGTGGCTTGTCACCAGCACCAGAGAGGATATTGAGCTGGGAAGGGACATGTTGAAAGTGGTATGAAGGAAGCTATGTGAGTCACTTGAAGAGTCCTTTGAACAGGGAATCCCACTGTGTGGCTGCAGCTAGCAGATGAGGGAACCTGGAAGGTGTCAGTGGGGCAGGTAAAGTAGAGGCAGGCTGGAGTTTCAGTCTGAGAGAAGAGAAGGGTTCTTAACCCACACAGTGAGGACAAGTAAGTTCTTCAGCTCTGGGGCTTAGGTGTGACAATGAGGACACGCCTCATTGTGTCTATCTTTTGTTAGTTTCTCTACCTGCACCTCTGCAGGGCTTTCCTTCCCTTTCCATTCACTATCAACAGCCCCAGCAGTGCCCAGAGACTGACCCTTGGCCAAACTGATTCCCAGTGCGCATGGACAGTGGACAGTGTCCTCTTCTGGCCAGGCCTCACTTCTGTCTGGGTCCTACCAGGCCTCAGTGTGGTAACTTGTGGAAGCTAACCTTTTGCACTGGGCCATAGGCACCCAGGTTGTTATTTTTTGTTTTGTTTTGTTTTTGGTCAGTTGTGGAGCTTGAACTCTGGGCCTAGATGCTGTCCCTGAGCTCTTCAGCTCAAGGCTAGTGCTCTACCACTTGAGCCACAGCACCACTTCTGGTTTTCTGGTGGTTAATTGAAGACAAAAGTCTCACATACTTTCCTGCCCAGGCTGTCTTTGAACTGCAATCCTCAGATTTCAGTCTCCTGAGTAGCTAGGATTACAGGTATGAGCCGCCAGCTTTGGCGTTATTTGTTTATTTATTTTTATCCATCTCTGCACTTTGAGGAACTTACTTGTCAGCCTGCTGAGAGACAAGGCCATTTCTTCCTCACATCTGAGACATATGTGTCTAGCATACTTGGTCAGTGATGTGAGGAGAGCTTCAAAGGAGAGCCTGGGAGAAAGTATTCACCTCATCACATGGTTTTAAAGTATCTAGAATATATGGAAGAAAAAGCGGCAGTGACCAAGAGGAGGTTCCTGCCTTTGAGATGCTTAGAATCTCAGATGGAGGAAACAGATGTGTACACAATGTCCACCATCCGCTGAAGGAAAGCACAGTCCTTGGCGCTCTGGATGTGGCTCTCCTGTCTTGCATTTCCCTCTGACTAGCTATGTCTTGTGGAGAGAACTGCTGGTCACCTGGAGGTTACTCCTTGTGCTGAGCCCTTGGTTATAAAGGAGTCCCTAACCAAGGGCCCTCATCTCAAGTCAGGATCTGAACTGGTCTGAACTGGGTTCAGCTATCCAACAACCCAAGGCCTGGTTAAGCACTCAGGAGAGTGAGTAACTGTAAGTCTGCAGAGGTTGCTGTCTTCTGAGAGAGTCCAAATGGTCACTTAGTTCTGGGGTAAACTACTAACTCAGCTCTTTCCTTTAAAAACTCCAAACTGGAATTGAGGGACTCCTCAAATCCAGAAGGCTCCAGATCAGAGACTATCTGTGAGTCAGGAAGGAGGCTCTCAGGTGAGAAGCCTAACCTTTGGTTCTGTCCTCTGCCCTATAGCCTAGTATGGGGCCTTTTGGAACCTCCCATCCTGAGACAGGCCCCAGAGTTGGATCCTAAACAATACTCTCAAGCCAAACGTAGGCCAAGCATGATAACATGTAATCCAATGTCTTCAGGAGGTGGATGCAGGAGAATTGAGAAGTTGAAGCTAGCCCAGGCAAAGCTGGTAAGACCCTATCTCAAAAACAAAATAAAAGCTGGGCGCTGGTGGCTCACGCCTGTGATCCTAGCTACTCAAGAGGCTGAGATCTGAGGATTACGGTTCAAAGCCAGCCTGGGCAGGAAAGTCCATGAGACTCTTATCTCCGATTAACCATTAGAAAGCTGGAAGTGGCACTGTGGCTCAAGAGGTAGAGCACTCGCCTTGAGCTGAAGAGCTGAGGGACAGCACAAGTGCCCAAGCCCAGAGTTCAAGCTCCATGACCAACAACAACAAAAAAAAAGGACTAGGTGTGTGGCTTAAGTGCTTGCATAGCATGTGTTAAGGCCTTGCATTCAATCCTCCAGTACCATCAAAAGTGAAAAATAAAATATCCAGACCATGAGAGAAAGAACGCGGGCGAGCAACATAGACACCCTGATCTAACTATGATTGGAAAGGCACCACTGGCCTGCAGTTTCCGTCAGGTGTGGGACAGCATGGGATCACAGTTGGCATTGCAGCCAGTACCTAGAGAGCACCCAGTCTACCACATGCCAGGCTTTGCTCTGGCTACCTTCCGTGTGAACCCAGAATTGGCACAACCACCCAGCTAGGTAGACAAGTTCATTTTCCTTGGATAAGTCAATTGAGTTATAAAAAGATTAAGTTCATTACCAAGTTCAACTCACCTACCAGCTGCTAGACATTCTATTTGAAACAACATAGCCTGACTCTAAATCCATGATTTTTTATTTATTTATTTATTTTTGAGTCCGGTCGTGGGCCCTGAACTCTGGGCCTGAGTGCTGTCCCTCAGATCTTCAGCTCAAGGCTAGCGCTTTACCACTTGAGCCACAGCACCACTTCCGGCTTTTTTCTTTTTGCTTATATGGTGCTGAGGAGTAGAATCCAGGGCCTCAGGCATGCAAGGCAAGCGCTCTACCACTGAGCCACCTTCCCAGCCCCCATGATTTATTTTTTTTAAAGACCAGATCTTGCTATGTTTGAACACATGATCCTTCTGTTGACCCAGCCTCTTAAGTGCTGGCATTACCGGCATGTGTTACCATGCCTGGTTCAAGCATGTGTTCCTTATTTATTTTTTTAAGGTGCTTGGGGGCAAATCTAAGACCTCACTCATACTAGGCAAGTTTCTACCACAGTGCTACACCCCAAGTAGAATTCATGCTGTCAGGTGCCAATGGGAAAGAGGCTAGGGGTTTCTCCAGTCATTTGGGGGCATCTGTTTATTTATTTACTTGTTTTTCCTTTGAGACAGGTTCTTACTATGTAGCCTAGGCTGGCTTTAAACTCACCATTCTCCTGAACCGTCATGTCCAACTTATGGGTGTTTTATAACTGTTAGAAATAGAAATCATCCAGTCTAATCCCCACAATTCACAGGGGAGGCTCCATAAGAAATTTATGTTGTGGCCCAGTTTGCTGATAAGGAGATGGGGGCTACTAGCAACCAAGTCTTGGGGACTATAGTCCCATCCTTTCTTTAGGACTGTAGCGCCCCAAAGCCCTATCTCCTCTCATCTCCTCAATACTGGATAGGCCAACGTGTGTCCAGAAGGTGCCATGCTCCCCTCCAGTCCTCAGGGTGCTCTCCCCTTGAGTCTGTGCTTGGACCCAGGAATCTTGTCATCAGCCTACTGATTTAGCCAGAATGCTCAGGCAGTGTCTTGACCAGCAGGAGTATAATGTAAGTCACCTTGGAGTCTCAGGAAGACTCAGAGCAGGGGATGAAGAAGGGTGTATGTGAGCATGTATTTGCTATGCTAGGACTACAGATCCACTCTCCACTGCTTACTCAGCAGGTTATGGAAGGCTGTGGGGAGAGGGTCACATGCCCATGAGAAGAAAAGCTACCAGTCTGGGCTAGCCCTTTGCCACTGGCTGGGAAGTAGCTGCTTCTCTTTTCCATAGCTGTTGATCATCGACTTGAGACCTTTTTTTTCTGCCAGACTGATGCCAGATTTTCGGAGCCCCATTCTCCTGAATCAAATACCCTTCCTCATCCCTTGTCTGAGACCCCAGCATGACCACATCACACTCCTGGCCAGGAAGTTCTGCATTGTTGTAGGATTAAGGTGCAACTCCCTTCTGACTTTATGCAGGCCATAGGGCCTTCTAGGCAATGGAGGGCATATAGGCCTGATTCCCCTTTATTCCTGGGCCAGGGAGCCTGCCTGCTACCAGGCCTCTCTGTTAGAGAAGCTTTCACTGTCCTTTCCATGCCTCGTCCAACTTTTGCCCTTGGTACCTCAGGTTCCATGAACTGGTTTGCTTCAAAGAGGTTACAGGGCCAGCTGAAAGAAGGCTAAGGCAGTGCAGTAAAAGGGAAATAGCATGAGGCTTAGAAGCTGTGGGATGAGATGAGTCACCCTGCCTCTCTGAGCCTCAGTCTCTCCATCTGTAAAATGGGCATGATAATTTCGACACTGCCTTCTTCCCAGGCACTGTACAATCTGCTGAGGAGGATTTTCTCATCTGTGGAGATGAGAAAGATAATTGATATTTGTCCTCTCATAAGCTATAATAACTGCTAAACACCCCAGAAATTGGAGAGACCTTGATCCTTCTAGATGCCTAGGCAAGAGAAAGAAGCTGACTCACTGGCTTGACTAGTTGGGGAAAGGAAATGCAGAGATTCAGCAGGACGCATAGCTAAGCAGCCTAGATACATTAGCTACTTCCTCCGTCGCTGCATCAGACCCTGGTCATACATGGACACATACCACCCAGAATGCTGAGCTTTTGAGTGTGGTTAGGGCCTGCTGGGGATGACTCACCACCCAGCAAGATTGTCTGCCTGCCTACACTC